CAACTGAAATGGAACTTTGATTTAAATCTTAATAAATCTTTAAATTTGATTTTTTTAAGAGAAAGTTGCATTTCAGTTGGGTAATTTTAGATAAAATTAAAGAAAATAATTTAATATCCCCGTATTATTTCTATGTTTTTAAATCGTGTAAGATTTTTCTTTCAGGGATCGCGGTTTTCATAAAACGATCGCCATTATGTACACACAAAGTCTCCCGTTTCATCTCTGAAATTAAAAAAATATATATCCACGAGGGGTTGGGTATTTTTATGCTGAAATGAAAAAGGGCCCGTTTATTTTTTTCTCTCCTAATCGCCGTCGTTGGCCAAGTTTAATTTGTTATCAAATACGATTTGAACCTAGATCGGAAGAAGAAGTATAACTATTTTTTGACGTAGGAAGTATAATAATATAGTGTCCTCTTGGAATGTCAGTTTTGAGTATTCCAACTTGCGAGAGCTTTTACACGAATTCCCCCGAGTATGTTTTATCGGCAAAACTTGAACTGGTGGAAAGGGGAAGTCGTTGCTGTTTGTGAATCTTCTTGATGGCCTTATTGTTGTCCTTTACAAATATAAAGACAAGATATTTCTTGTTGGTAGGTTTTCTTTTGTCTTGTTTTAAGTTGGATTTTTATTGTTCTCTTCTTTGTTAAATTAATCGCATTGACATCAACATTTTGCTTATATATCTACCTACTTTTTTATTAAGAACAAACAGTTTATCAATGCAAATATTTATTTGATTACGTAAGCTTCAAGATAATTTTTTTTTCAAGCATACCTGATATAACAAGTTTAGTGGTACCTACTCTCGTATTTTGATTTTATAACTTCAATTGGTTAGCACGTTTTATAAGCCCGACCCACATTCCCCTTGCTCGATTTCATGTTTTCCTATATTCTCTTAAAACCCCGACCGTTATTGAAACTTTATGAACTTACGGATTACGTTATAATCTGATGATGTTGAGTTTTATCACGGAACATATATAATCGGTAAAGTTGTGCGTGAAGTTATTAACGTTCCGAGAATTTCAGAGATAGGGCTGTTTTAGGATGGTTTAGAAGATGTAAATCGGTTTTGTTGGAAACATCTTGTAATTCTTCTAATTGAATCAAGATTTGTTTGACTGCTATTTCAATGAACTTGCTGCAGAACTGATTTCTGCGTAGAAACTTAATTTTTTTATGAAATAGTTTGATTTTTTTATTATTTATTTTTATGATTACAGTTTTTTGACTTGATTAAATTGCAATTATTAACCTGGAATTTCTATCTTGATGTTTTCACTTTTAATAATTAATGGGCAAAAAAAAGAAAAAGACACATCTCTGCATAATTATATCGTAGAATATCTATAATCTGACACTAACAGTCTGACTTTTTTTTACTCTCGAACAGACCTCCATTTTAATTAGAACCGCAATTCAGGCCGAAAAGTTTTTTTTTGTAAGGTCGCGAATTTCAGCAAATTTAATAACATAGTTTTCCCCTAGTAACAAGTACACAATGATTAAAACGGGGTTAATTAAGGAATGGTTAATAACTCTTCGTTAGGCGAACTGCACCCATGTGGAAAATTTCTAAAGATCGTGTCTAAGTTACGTTCACACACATGTGAAACACACAACGGTCGTTATAAAAATTAATCGTTCTAAAATGTTGAAATACATACTAGCCCAATTTTATGGGAAATTATATAATTAATTTTAAGTATATTAAAAATGGTGAATATAAACGATTCTTGTGTTTTTAAAGTATTTTAGTTCAATTGAAATTGTACGGCGTCGAACGATACCATAACGTAAGGCAAATCAGTCATGCTGGTTTAGCATATCAAAACGCCCTGGAATTATTAAACCGCTGGACGTGATTCAGCCGGTACAGCGACCAAAATTACTTATTTATTCGGATTACTAAACTTGCATAATGTGCAAGTAAAATCGGAACATGGGAAATGCTTAGATGATAATCCGTTTTCCATAATGCATAACCTATACAGGATGTCGTTTTTAGATGGCCCGACAGAATTTCTCTTGAACCAATGACGCTATCAAAAAAACAAAAAATACGTATTTCATATTTGTTGTTGTCAATTCCAATAATTTCCTTCTTCACTAAAATAAACATTAATTGCCTTTATTGATTACATTCTTTTATTGTTTTCCAAACTCGCATTATGAGAGCAAATCTTAATTCCTGGAAGTAAATCAATTTTATTCGTTACATTCAGTATTCCATTCAAAATGAATCGAAAAACACATTTTTCCGAATCAAGAGAGAATTGATACGCGCATCTCTTTTATTGATAGTGGCGGTATGCGCATCGTACAGTCGAGTTGTACTTCCAGAAATTTTCTGATCGCCCCAGAGTAAACCACAAAACGTTTAATCGTGTTGCTCGCAATATGAGGAAACACTGTTCCATCACCAAGAAACCGGCAGCGTAATTTCAACGAGAAACTGAATATTTTACTGTAGTAAATCCGTTATATTTCGTAGTCCGATTGACCAAATAACTTCTTTTAATTAATTAATCTTTGTGTAACGTATTGGTTGAAATGAAAAAGGTAGTGTCACGAGCGGGATTGGAACCTTTCGAGTTTTCCCTCCTTCTTGCCATTCGAAAGGTATGTTGAGATGGAAGGTTGGTTCATTACCCCTTTTCGTCAATTTGTCCTTAAATGTAATAAAAGAACCACTTAATCTTACGCGAGTACAACTGATGAATTGCCAGTACAAATAACTGCACACTATTTTATTATGAAAAATCGGTTTGCAATATATTTAAACATTTTTTCCCAATGTCAATAAAATGTACAAATATAAATATAATCTACCTTTAATATAGTACATAAGATTAAAGAAAGTAAAAAAATCGAGTATAAAAAAAAGCCGTTCAAATAATTTATGTTTGTTGCAGTATAATATTTTTGATTAAATATAATTTATACAATGATAACAATATTTTTACTAACATTTATTAAGTTTCGTGGTCCGCTTGACCAAATAAATTCTTTTCAATTAATTACTTCTTAAGTAAGGTTTTTGTTGAGATAAAAAAGTCAATGGCACGAGCGGGATTCGAACCCACGATCTTCGGCTAGGTACGCCACTGCTCTACCACGTGAGCTATCGCGACTTCGATCGCTCGGGCACCCGTCTCCCAACTCAACCCCACCTTTTGAATTTTCCCTCCTTTTTGCCATTTTTCAAATGTCGTGTAATCTTTTTGATTCTCGGCGACAAATGATCGAAGTTAAGATAGCTCAAAGCAGCAGCGTGTTTAGCCGAAGTTCGTGGGTTGGAATCCCGCTCGTGACACTCGCTTTTTTATTTCAACCAAAACCTTACATACTGATTACTTAATTAAAAGATTTTACTGTACGTTCGTGAAAATCCGAATCCCTCTCTCCGAAATATTGAAAGGGTTTTATGTTTTTCAAAAAATAAAATTAAAGATGTACTCCGGACTTACAATTTGAAGATCTATCGCTCTCATCTTGTCTAGAGACTTCGGGACTGTGATTATGACATGCGTCTAATGTTTCTTTCACCAATCTCGATTTGGGAAGCTGAAGAAAACTTTGAAAAGATTCATGAATCGCAGTTCACCTCTAATGCCTTACTGAACGAATTTTCGAACGTGGGCATAGGAAAATCCGTGGATTTCGTACTCTTGTCATCATCAGGTGGTTCACGGTATCAACATTGTGGACTTCTCGGAAATAAATAAATTGGACCTTTTTTCCACGAAAATAATTTAAATGGTGCTCAGTTCATCAATTTTTTGAGTGAGGTTTTATCAACACTATTAGATGATGTTCCTCTGCCAAAACGACAAAGAATTATTCTCCAGCTTGATAGATGGGCCGCACACAAATCTTTGTCGGTGGGACGTTATTTGAATCGTCACGTCCAGGATAGGTGGATAGGAGTGCCGGGCCCACTATTTTCTACGGGGCCCTTTAAAAAAACCAGTGTCTACGCCAATGATAACCCAGAAACCTCAGTTGAAAAACTGCTGTAAAGCATAGAAAATCCTTGTCAATCCAACTTCCCTGACTCTATCGCTCTAAGCACCGGTGAAGACTGGTTAAAAGGAGCAAATATTTGCATCTTTCAGAAAGGCAGGCAGTTCGAACACGAAATATGATTAATAAATATACAGATGACTACAGTAAAATTTATTTACTTTCAGGAATTAAGACTTGCTCTTATAATGCGATTTTGGCAAATAATGACAGAAAGTAAACAATAACGGCAATTAATGATTACTTTAGGGAAGAACCCAATTATGGGAATTAACAACGAAAGAAACGAAATGAGTTTTTTCAAACCTTTTGTAATAACTTTGTCATTGTTTGACCAATTTAAAATCTGTTTGCATCATTGCTTTCAGCGTAAAATAAACCTTTAAAACGAGGTGTTAGAATGTAAAGGGTCATATTTGAAATTTGAAGTTTATCTGGGCCTAAAGGTTAACATTTGAAACAAGATTAAAAAATATTAAACTCTTTTTTTGAGAACTTCAGCCGGGCTATCTAAACAGATCCCCTATATTACTTAATCCATAGTTTTTTCCGTAAATTCTTTATCGCTTAAATATTACATCATTTTTGTTGTGCGTTCCATAATGCATATTTTATACTTGGTATTTTATGTGTCATTGTTGCATAACTTCAGAAATGCTCGCTGTTTATCAGGGACAGGGTCAAATTATCAATGAAAATCTCAAGCTTATGTCGAACCAAGTTTCACATACAGGGCAACACTTAAGTTGTATCAATTTTAAAGTAAAAACAGGCACTGAATTATGCAGATCTGAACATTAATAACAAAACTAACATTTTTCAAATCTTATTTTAACAAAAATCTCAAAACCCTCCAGTGCTTTGATTTGATTAAGGTCTCGACAATAGAGAAACAGCAGGGATGTATAAAATATGTATTTTTAAGTATAAACATTTTTTTCTCATACTTTTTTTTTGATGCAGTTGTTTTGGTCGCCTTTGGAGCAATCCTTCTGGCAATGTTTGCCGGCTACATTGTATGGCGAAAGAGACGACGAGGATCAGAATGCGACGCACTGGCCCCTCACATACTTGTCTATCCATCCTACCAAGGCGATGCCGCCCCTCAGCTTATGTAAGTTATTAATTTACAATTTTGTTTTCGACTTATTTGTAATATAATACAAAATAAAAACCCGACCCCAAAATAATTTTTGAAATTGTAAGTATGGCGCATAAAATATTCAGATACATTAACTGGCGTTCCAAATTTATTGATGTGATGCATACTATCGTAATATAAAATATTATCAAATTATTAATAGATAATTCATGAAGTAAAACATAAAAATAATGGAATACTAACTAATATTAATATTTTTTTCTGGTCTGATGTTTCTAGAGAAGCGATTTTTCCGAGCGATCATTTCCTTTTTATGGAAAAAACATTTCTTATTTCCGACTAAATCATATTATTATAATAGTATTTCTATTTTTGAATTTTAATATTTTGAAGTTGTTTTGGTAAAAATTCGACCTTAAATAATACAAATAACGCGAGTGTGGCGTTCAGAAGTAATATGCAGGGATCTGAACCGTTATTGCGTCGGGAAAATATGTTTAACGTGTAATCAAAAATAATTATCAATCGTTCTTGTTGGTTTCTTTTTTTATGTAGAACCCTATATTTCTAAGTAGTTTTATAGGTTCACAGAAACAAAAAATTACTCATCCTGTGCTTGTATATTTTATGGTACTTACTAGAAAAAAAAATTTTTTGTACAATTATTAAAACAATGATGTTCTTACATCAGATTTCTAAACCGTTAATTAATTTATTAGGCTCCATTAGTAATATATAAATTTATTGTCAAAAACACAACGGCAGTAAAGGTACTTCAAAAAATAATGGACGTCTTAAACGCGTGTACAGAGTTGAGCCCATCACTTTTCACAGTCCACCCGTCACTCGAGTTTTTGTAATTTATAATGAATTACCAGCAGGTCTTGAGAATCTCTCCAGGAGTTGGTAGTCGGGGGTCAGCAGGCCTCGGTCACATCCATCCAGCCGCCCAGGTTGGCTCCAGCTGCTATCAACCGCTAAGTAATTTCAACCCCCAAGTTTCTAAATCCAATTACATTCTCACTCTTCCTTAAATACATTCTTACTTATTTATATACCATTCGCTTAGTTTCTGTGGTAGAGTACTCAAAATTCCTCCATCACCTTTGACACCTATTATATAACTAACCTATTTACGGGGGATGGCAATATACATTCACGCTAATAAATACATTCACTATGAACACACAGCAGAAAGCCATCACTGGTATGTACAATAAAACAACTATGTTTTCTCCAAGATCGGAAAAAGGGACGTCGAAACTTGCTGCTGAGCACAAGCACAGTTCTCATATCGGGTGACATTCCTACGTGCACTCTATGCGGAGCTAAGGTTCCCTCCTTCCGGTCTTGGAGGAAGCAGGGTTGTTTTATTATATCTACTAGTGATAGTTTAAAACGTTCAGAGTGAATGTATTTATTGGTGTGAATGTGTAGTGACTCCCTCCTATTGAGTGATTGGCATGTAAATAGGTTAATATAATAGGTGTCAAAGGTGGTGGAGGAATTTCAAGTACTCCACCACCCAAACTAATCGAATGTTATGTATATAAGTTGATTTCTGCTTGCTGGTGTAGGAACCTCGCATGGCCTATTCAGGTCCTCTACAGTGATCTTGATACTCGAAAGCTTCTCTGCTGATCCGGCCCATTGACGCTGGCATTTTCTTTCGATCATGTTTTTTATTGAATTTTTAGTGTCAGAGGGGTGGATCGCGGTTGTTAAATCCGGACGTTGGGGCGTCTCGTCTTTAGTAGTCTGATCAGCCTTTTTGTTACTCTCCAGACCTATATGTCCGGACAAAAACCATCGTTTTGCCAAAACCCCCCAGTTCATGAAGCCTCTCTAACGAAAGCACAAGTTGAAATATGTTCGAAATGTTAGAAAAATTTATAAAACACACTTTTTTCACAGTTTACCTTCTTTAGATTTATGAAATTATTAAAATAACAATGTAAAATATTTTTTTTAATTGTATAAAAAACCAAACACTTCTCTCAATTGTTATACAACACTTTTAAACCAAAAATTTAATTTAGTTAATCAAAACGGTTTTTACCTTGTGTGATATGTATGTTATATACCAAGGAACAAATTTAACGTAATTCCTAACCGGATAGAACCTTACCAAATTACTATTAGCAAAAAATCTTATTAGAAAGCAAAAACAAAAACAAAAAAATCGATTTCACAACATCAACAAGATCCCTGTGCAACCTGGCTCATAATCTCTCTGATAAAAGGCCTTTCCACATACCTTTTGAAACCATAGTTGTATTTCATATAGTTAGGCATCATTGTAAGTTGGTAAACCGAAACTTTATATTTTCCCCGTAAAGCTGCTAGTCTTTCCAATCAACTTGCAAATATATAATGGCTACAATAACAAATAATAATAAATTACAGTAAAAGAAACAAATAAACATTTTACACAAGATTTAGCAACTATATATGGTAAATCAATTTTTAGAATTATCTGGCAAGCTAAATGTCGATTATTGACAACAGGACGATCTTTTGTTATGTGTAATACAAAAAGTTTTTTCATGTTACAATCGATTGTGCATATTGCAAAATGCAAAAGAGATCATAATTTAGAAAAAGATTCAAAAGATGAATTTTTTACTTCGTTTATTTGTATTGCATATGCATTATATACAAACATGAGATTGGATAATTTATTATTTGTGGCATTACAGGCGTTATAGAGAAAGCTACACATTGGCAGCAACGATCTGGATTAATAAAATGATATTAATCATTTAAGAGGTCTCTTATCCATATTCTTTTAAGACGTTTACGCGGTAATTGTGGGGACTCGAGTAATCGTATTACATCGTATCGTACATGAATTTTAAAAATCTTTTTACTAGTAAGCTAACAATTTGCAATAATAATTATAAATAATAAAAAAAACTAGTTTCACCATTATTTTTCAAAGGCACAATATATTTATTTCAAATTTCTTATATTGGAGACAACAGTTTGTCCTTGTCCATTTTTTGTGGATGGTTCGAAGTGGTTTTTTTTGGATAAATTATTTATTTAAATTTATTGAATCAATAAATTTATTCTCCCATCTTTAAGGTTTATGCGATCAAATTTTCATAAATTGTAGATAAAATAAAGTGAACTCCAAAGAAACAATTATATAAATTAGCAATTTAACCTAGCATAAACCAACAAACAACAGCTCATCATAACTCTTTTTGTCAAACTTATTTTTAACATTCAAGTAGTAAAAATCACCATCAAACATTATCCAGAAAATGTTTTTAATTTTATTAAACTTGTTCAAGAGGTTTCAAATATAGTGTTACCAAAAGGAGACCAATTTTTCCATCAGACAAGGTCAGAGGTTATTATGCCTTTATGGTTTGCCCGCTCATCAAAGTATTCTTTGTTGAAATCCTACGGGCCAGAAAAATACTAGTTATCAATCAAAAACAATCAACTACAATACAATACACAATACAATTTGTAATCAAAATAAAAAACATTTGACATTGTATGACATCGTGACAAAGTTGTTTAAATTAATACAAAAAGCAATTACAATGTAATAACCATTTATTTCTGGCTTTACTCTTTGTTTTTAGCATACTCCATGGAACAAATTCAAAGTTCAAAGACTATCATGGATTGATTTTGACTAAAGGTTTAATCCCGGTCTAATGATGTTTGAATAGAAAAATGACGCGGGGGGGGGGTCGGTGGCGTTGACACGGCGTTCATCTCTGTAAGGTAAAGGTTCCGGGTTCGAATCCAGCGGCCCTGCATTCGAACCCAACATACTTAAAAATTTTTTTTCAAAAACACCGGCACCCTGAGGGTTTATATGACCTCTGTTGTTGCGAACCCTCGTAAAAAAATGACTTTGATGAAAATCGAATATTAAATACAGTATCGAAAGAATTTAAGAGTTGTAAGAAACATTTCACACGGTTTATACATATAAATAACTGGAAGTTGGATTTTGTTCTTTCCGGTATTATATGTATTTTATTTTACAATGAGTTCTTTTTGATATTTATTTTTGACCAATAAAGTTTTGACGAGGGTGAAGGGCTGTATATATTAATGAATGTAATCTACAATTTGTTTGTTTTATTGTTTGTATTGTGTATTTTATTACGACACAGGAATTGACACGGTCGATTTGTTAGATGGCGTAACGTTTTTTTGCACGTTGTCCGGCAGCGCCACCTGTTGATTTTTTGCTAATTATCGGAATCTGGTGACGTACTCCCTTGGGTCGATAGCCCTTCACACTACTCGTCTTTCTCGTCTTGTCGCCATTTGACCAGAATCGTACCATATTAGAAGTTATGGGGAAAATTTGAGCAACCCGCGGTAAAAAAGGAGCATCGAGATCCGTCAGAGTGATTTGTTCCATTGTGTGACATTTCGCTTGCAAGTTCTGCCTTTAAAATGTTATCCTTTTTCAAGTGCGAATTGAGGTAAGCAAAATAGGTCAAAAAACGTTTCCATTTCAAAACAACTTTCACCAAATCGCTCAAAAATAGTCACTTTAAATATTTAAAAAAAATTAATCCTTTCATTTTAAAACAATTTATGTAACTTTAAGTAATTTCTATATAGACAAATATTTTGCTATTTGACGAACACGAAAAAGCCTTTTATTGATAATTACATTTAACTTATACTAAGGCAATATTTTATATAATGTCACACCTGGTAAGTTGTTAAAGAGTGTCTTGGTATGTTATAGTGTGTTTTGATTAATTAACTTTAGTTTATCTTTTAGATAGAAAAATGATGTGATAATCTATTCAAATTGGATTTTTTATAAGCAAACTGACTTGCCATTAAACCAATTAATTATTTTGGCACTCCCCAACAAGAAAAATCTTTATTACTAACATTATTTAATTTAGACTAATTGTAAAGTTTTACAGAGTTCATTGTGATACTATTTCATCCAAAATGTCTTTATTTCAAAGAAATATTTATAAGATTTATTTTTGGCGACAAACCCACGATAATAAATT